GGAACGCCGGTCGAGCCGGTGCAAATTCGAGAAAACAACACAAACTCAACTTTGAAGTAATCCTGAACAACCAAATTTATATAATATTACACATGTAGGGCTAATCTTGTTACACTGTTCAGAGGAGTCTCAACAACATTCTAAAGTACCGTTTTCTGCGAGTTTTGGGCCTTTGTTTTCACCGCGAGGGTTGCCAGGCGGTGAAAATACCCGGATGTCTGCCCCTGAGGATAGCAATGGCATTTTCTACTTACATCATCAACACATAGGTCAACTTTTGTTATCTTTTATAAATGTAAACTTGTCCACATTTGATATACACATTGATCAAGACTTGCCCTTTTGTCACCAAAATTAACTAAGAAGTATAGAAAGATACATACTAATGTTGCAGAAAACTTTAGACGGGAAATGATATGGTGAATGGGAGGACTCTAATGCTTGATACATGTAACATGATTATACTGATTATGAAACATGATTATACTGATTATAGAACATGATTATACTGATTATAGAACATGATTATACTGATTGCAGAACATGATTATACTGATTATAGAACATGATTATACTGATTATAGAACATGATTATACTGATTGCAGAACATGATTATACTGATTACTAAACATGATTGTACTGATTATGAAACATGATTATACTGATTACGATTACAGAATATGATTTTACTGATTACGATTACAGAACACGATTTTTACTGTTTACAGAACATGACAACTGATTACAGAACATGATTTAACTGATTATAGTACATGACTGTACTGATTACGAAACATGATTGTACTGGTCACAGAATATCACAGTAATAGAATATCTTATCTGTTACCAGGTCCATGTGTTACTACATTCAATACTACAAATACAGTGGCAGGTAATAGTGGTGTGAACAGTACTTCATCATGCCAATCCACTCCATCCCCGGGTAGTAGAACTATTATGACCAGTCCATTTACCGTATTAGGAAGGTCAGAAAATGGATTTGTACATGCACAGCAACAGGTGGGTATGTTTGCGCAAAGCGACATTGAATTTGTGCAAATTGGAATGCAAGAGGTGATGGTACATGTAGTACAATTGTCGCATAAAACTTACTTATGTTTTGGGAATACATGAAAGCTAGGGCATTCAACAATGCCCAGTAGAACACAAGCACTTGCAGACTAACCAATATTCTCAGCCAGTGATTTCGGGCCTCCGCATTGGGGCTTTGATGCACTTACATTGGGTTGACCAATTCTTGTTTTTTCATCAGCCTGTGTGCATTTGCAGGTCATAATTGCAATGAGATTATTTATTTATATGACAAATATTTCTTATTTCAGCTGTTGAATTATCCTAATATAAGTCCTGTGAATATGCAAGCAATAAGTCCAACTACAATAGGATTATTGGCATCACCAGTGGTAACACCAAGAACAACACCACGATCTACTCCAATACCACGATGGACAACTCCACTGATTTCATTGGATGAAAGCAGTGATTACGCACTGTTAACTGGTAAGTACATGTAACCATGGGCACAATAACATGACGTGTAGTATAAAATCACTCACAAAATCTAGTCTTGGTATGTGATGTATGTCGCTCATCTCATGTGATATTTGACTTTTCATGTGATCCAAGTCATGTCATGTGGTGATGTTTGTCTTGTCATGTGATCCAAGTCATGTGATGTAATCTCTTGTCATGTGATGCAAATCATGTCATGTGATCTAAGTTAACTAGTGTAATATCTTGTTTTGCTCCTGTAGAATATGACTGTAATTGTAGATGTAAAAAATATAAACGTTTCAATTTTTTGCTATAAACAAAAGAATAATGTCAGCTATAGTTTCTTGGAAAAAAAATCTGGTAATAACACTGTATTTATTGTGACACATGCACGGTGTTAGATAACTCACCTAGGTATGTTAAATTGAATAAAGTCTTGACTATTTCAATTTTCATATAGGTATAATCCCAGGAATGACAGCTGATGAGCCGTTCTTGGACCAAGGTGAGACACCTTGATTTTTACTGATCATGATTTTATTTTTCTCTTTCATCAAAAGAAAACAACGCATGGCAGTTCTGTACAAATGATCTTAAAGGTGATTGGCAGGCATTTTTGACAGCAAATTCAGGTATAGTTATGCTTTATGACATTT